GGGTGGATTTTTAGAAATTGGCTAAGGGAAGGCTTAGCTGGCCAATGGAGGGGTTAGCCCCACTGCTTACGTGTCAAGCAGAGGATCTCTCAGCTCAATTTGGGCTGAGGTGGCTTCTTGGCATGAGTTTGGCTTTTGGCCATGTGGGGGCTCACGATTTTGGGCTTTAGCTTGGGTTAAGGTGGCTAACGAAGGGTTGGATCATGGTTAAAGCTTATGATGCCCAGTAAAAATGACACCATAGGGTATGAACACGTGTCCTTGATTTAACTTCTTTATTATCCCTTCCAAAGATTAAAATTAAAATTTTTACCCATGAGATAAATATCAAGGTTAACCATGGGTTGATGGCTGGATTTAAACTCAACCCTAGAGTCTAGGATGAGTTATGGTAGGGTTCATTTGACCATACCATCAACCTTAGGGTCTAAGGTGAGTCAAGGTAGAGCTCATTTGGCTAAACCAAGCTTAATTGGGTTAGATTTGATCTTAAGTCCAAAAAGGTGCATGTGACCAAATCTTGTTTTTGGGCTAGGTTAGGCATGCCAATTAGCCCAATTAAATATGGCATTTGGTGTAGGAGATCATGAGGAACAACTTTCATGAAGGGTGAAAGTCATTTTGAGGTCAATTGGTTAATCAATTTGGTGGATTTTTTATTTTTGACCCATTTTAAGCATGTTGGGCTAAGTTTGGGTCAAACTTGGGCTAGCCAAGGGCTAAGTCCAAATTTATTATTGTGATTGGTGTAAAACAACATAATGAACAATTTTCATGAAGGATGAAAATTATTTTGAAGTTGATTAGGTGGTCAATTTGAATGGGTTTTGATGGGTTTGGTTTTAGACCTAAATTAAGCATGTAGGGCTAAACTTGGGTCAAACTTGGGCTAGCTTTGGGATAATCTCAAATTGATTGTTATATTTGGTGTAAAACATCATAATGAACAATTTTCATGAAGGATGAAAATTATTTTGAAGTTGACTTGATGGTCAATTTGAATGGGTTTTGATGGGTTTGGTTTTAGACCTAAATTAAGCATGTAGG